CGGGTGACAAGGAAACTGGTGGACGATCACGGCCTAGAGCACGAACTCATGGCGACGATGAGGTGAGGGATGGAATAAAGAATATCCATCTGGGGCCAGCGGCTGCGGCGGCATCTCCCTCTATTGTAACCCCACCAGTCGAACAAGTAAAGAAAGAAAGTGCAGCTGTTGGCTTGTTAAGACGGCTGAGCACCAGAAGAACACGGGAGAAACCGCGGGACACCGATCGTGAAAAGAGCGCAACATCCCAAGGACCCAGTTTCAGCATACAGCCGCCAGAAGAAGTTACTACTGGAAAAAGTTTTAGTGTGAGGAGGCCTAAACATGAAATCCCCTCTCCTGCGACGCTTCACTCTGGCGGAAGCCAGCCCCAACAGCCAGATTTTCTGCGTGCACCCCCGGTCTGGGGACCCACCTCCCAGGACGAAGAATGTTCTTGGGCGGTCAGCTAGTGTTAATTCCGGCGACAACAGGGTGCTCAGAAATGGGAGACGAGGATTTTTTGATGGTCTCGTTTCTCCGCTCTCACAGGATCCACCATTGACAAGTGGATCTGACCGATCTAGTTTGAATGTGCAAAAGTCGCGACAACAGCAGAGCGACCACGCAGCAACCCAAGATTCGAAATCCACTATTCGCACACAAACATTTAGAACTAAATCTCTTGGCCATGCCAGACGCGAAAGTATCCAGGCTCGGAGAGCACGCCGCGAGGAAACTCGCGAGGCAAATGTCCCCGAGGAGACGGATGCTGACCTGAGTAACACCGGCAATACGATGGAAAATGTAAATACAGGAGAAGACTTTTCGAAGCCCGTCTTTCTTAAAGGCCTGTTCAGCGTTTCGACAACTAGCAGCAAACCCCTCCCCTTCATCCGGGCAGATATAAGCAGAGTCCTGAAACAGCTTGGTGTTGAGTTCACTGAAATCAAAGGCGGATTTAGCTGTCGTCACGCCCCAAGCATCGATCTCAACCGGGTCGTTGATGTTTCCCCGCCCAGCCCTGATCGACAGGGAATGGTGAGCAGCCACCGCCGTAGAATCAGTTTTGGCGGACTCCTCAGTCACGAAAAGGATGAGAACAGAGATGAGCATAAATATTCACACTCTACTCGGACTCCACGCCGTCATCAAGGCTCACCTGATCGAAGTTTTATCTCTAATTCAGATGGCTCTGACGAATACATGGCTGCCCGTGATAATGTGGGCGGTGAGCGCGTTGTTGGGGAGACGACTACTCGAGTCCAGAGCGACACGGGCGGTAACCTGGTGCTCAAATTTGAAATCTTGATCGTCAAGGTTCCTCTCTTCTCGCTGCATGGTATACAATTTAAGAAAGTGTCAGGTGGCATGTGGCAGTACCGAGAAATGGCGAAAAAGATTCTGGATGCTCTTAAGCTCTAGTTTCGACCTCGTCTTTCCTGACATTCGGGGAACTGGATTGAGGATCTTTTAGAGGGTGGACAGATCGCCCCTGCTCATGGCCCTGTCTGCTTAAACTCATCTCCAGGCCGAATATTTCCTAAATAACTTTGTTTCGCCCATGGAGATTTCAAATTGGCGTTTCAGATTCAGATACATATGCATACTTAATTATCTCACATCCCCTGATTTGTACGGAACTTTTCATCGCTTCTAGCTCCTGTTGTTTTCCCACATTTGTTACTCTCAGGTTTGTCTTTTCCCCCTTCATGCCATGCCAGCTGACTCATATTGATGAGAAAGCATGAATGAGCTCTGCCCTTGATTTGTGATATTTTATTTCCATTTCGTTATTCATTCGGTTCGCTTTCTTTCCTTTCCCCGGGGTGCCTGGCACCTTAACTCTCTCATCAGTTAATCTACCATTTAGCGGTTGCTCTTTTAATGTTCTTCGCCCCAATCCCACCCCCTTTTTCTCTGTTATTTGAGAAGTGTGTATACATGTAGTATATATATCACGATGGGGGTATGTAATTCAGTTTACTGAAAATGTTGTTTTTCTTCATGATGTTCAGTTGGGTTTTTTTTCTTTTTTGGCAACTTTGTTTATTCAAAGTTTTTCCGGATTTCAGATCTAAGAAAAAGGATTTGAGAGAAGATGAGCATTGCCATTCGCTATATCTGGCATTTATATTTCCTCTTTCCTTTTTTTCTCACCTCATTTTATTCTTTATTTCATTAATTCATACATTGCTTTAATTTCACTTGACTCTTATAGCTTTTTCGTCTATTATCACTGTAATTGGTGTCGCTGCTCTTAATGTGATTGCGTCCATTGGAATTTTGAAACTTTTTATATCAGGTTTTAGCTTCATTGTGATGGAAGAAACGAAGGATAATTCTCAAAAGCAGAAACAGAAGTTCATTCATCGTCTGCATGAAAATATAAAAATGAGAGGTAGAAAAGCTGATGTGATGAGTTTGCTCTTCAGCTAATATATGTCGTTTTTACTCCTAGAAAGAGTCAATCCGATTTTCACTGGAAGGTCTACCTTCCAGACCCCTGCGCCTCAGGTTGAGGTTCATTTAGCTGAACAACCCGAGCATAACAGACACTTAACCAGCTCACGTCACTCTTCTGTATACTTGAGACGAGCGACGTGGAGAGCCCCGGAATCAATGTGTTTAGCCTATAGGTCATTATGGCATGTTCAGAAACTCGTCCACTGGATGAAATAGTTAGAATAGCTAGTTGTTGTTTGTTTTAATAAACCGATTCAAATGCGTTACGTAGCCTGATACCGTCTTTGCTAAAGAGCCTGATATTAAAATAGGCTACGCGCGAAAACACTAGCTGTTGCTGTCATGCGAGGGGATTTGGGAGGGATGAAAATCAAATAAATATGATTTTCACATTGGTGAAAGGTACTTGATTGAGGTTTCAAATCATTCAATGTTGAGGACATTGAGAAAAAGAATTGTCAATTTCATGTGGCGGACACAATATGAAGATACATTTTCAAGAAAATTTTGAAATAGTTACAAATTTAACACGAAAGGTTGAAGAAAAATATACAGAAAGCTTAGTTAAAATGGTTTATTTCAAAAACAAATAACTATTTACTTCAGATATAAAAATAATGTAAAGCTTAACTAAAGATATTTATTTGCTATAAGTATTACAATAACTATTTATAAGATAATATAATTATTAAAGTTATAAAATTTCAAATTCTTAATACTATTAATCATTATTAAAATATAAATTAAAATATTGCATATTAACTAAGTATTTAAAATAAAATTTGAAAAATTATTTTAAATAACATATTTTAAATTTATTATTTTATATAAAAAACTTAAAATATTATGAAATATTTAAAAGTTTAAAGTAAAAATATAAATAATATTATTATATTAAGTATTAAAACTTTTCAAGTTTTAAATTATTTATAATAAATATAATATTTTAATTATTATAATATAATAATTAAAGATTTAATTAAAATTTTTATAAAATATTATATAAATAGTAAATTTAATTATTAAATTATATATATATTATATTAAATTTATAAAAATTTTAATTTTAATAATAATAATAATAATATTAATATTAATAATAATAATAATAATAATAATAATAATTTATTTATTAATTAATTAATTAATTAATTAATTAACTAATATATATAAATTAATATTATTTATAAAATTATATAAATTAAATTAAAAATTATTATTATATTGTATTATAAGTTTTTTGTTACTATTTTTAGTATATTAATGTTATTAATGGTATTTTATTTTAGTTTAACTAACCATATAAAGTATTTATTTACACTTGTAATGACACTTCATTTAAAAAAATAATAATTAATTTTTACTAAGTTTAGATCTCAAACAACAACTTTTTGTTTAATTTCCATCAAAAACAACATTTAAAGCTTCAAAATCTTGCTGATTTCTTTCTTAGAGATTTTGTATTCTTTTAAAAGCTTAAGTCAGTAATAGAGTTGCTTTAGATGTTTTTACTGCTATGATTGAAGTCTGAGCTTTGTCATAAAAGGCTCTCAGGTTGTTTTAACTTTCAGCCTTTGGCTATATGTCAAACTTCTCTTCAAATAAGATGGTTATTGACCTTACAAGAGATTCGTCCTCAGAAGATGACCCTCGACACGGCGTTGAACCAGTGAGTTCCCCCAAAATCAAAATGCTGGTCTGGGATTTTGTTGTTTGTTTTGAACATTTTTGCCATCACACACTCTCTCATTCTGGGCTGAAATATGGCCTGCAAACCTTGTCTGTCTTCAGTTCGATTTCTCTCCTTCACGTATTTCCAAATACCGAAGGGTTATGCTCTTAGGAATATCTGGACCTATTGGAAATAATCCTACATATCATCAATGTTTCCTAACACCTACAGTGTTGTGTTTTGGCCTTATTCATCTCGCTAACCGGTTTAGGAAATCCGCACTCCACCTCATGATGAAGGGCTTACCCTTCTACAAAAATTCACACGTCCGAGCCTACGACCAGGGAGTAGTTCAAGCGGAGGGACAATGCGAAATGAGTGGAAAAGTACAGCATCTACAAACGGCGCAATTTCGAGTACTTTGAATGGTGTGCTACCTAGCAACAAGCCACCCCAACCCTCCTTCGCGGTCGTAGTGCCATCCTTGGGGTGTGATACTGGTATTAAAAGGAGACGCCTGAGCTCTGAAGATGACAGTAGTAGCCAGGCTAATGGAGTTGATCCCGAATTTCCGAATCATCATGGGCTATCGTCTTTCTACTCCGTGGAACGGAGAAGCAAAGCTTTGACCTACCAACCTAAGCAGGAAGTCAGTCGGAATCGGGCCAACATTCAAATAAAACAGCCTGCTGTGCGCTATCACCCTTTTCAGAAAGGCCACTCAGACAAGGACATATTGTCACTCTACTTGAAAAAGCTTCAGCGGATTCAAGGGCCCCCTGTGACATTAAAGATAGATCCCTCCGACGCCTCAAACATTGACTTCAACTTTGAGTTCATTAATGAGTACAAGCTTCAGAAGGGGGTTAAACGCGTTGACCCAGGTTTCCATGTCGGCTGTCAGTGTGTCGGTGTCTGTGATTCATCCAGCTGTTATCACCTGGATCGCCTCCCTAACGAGGACGAGGATGAAGACGAAGTCTCGGAACATCAAATTATACCTTATCAAGTGGGGCGGGATGGAAAAGTTGTTCTGAGGCATGAATTCTTCAGGAAAAGGGCAATGATTTATGAATGTTCCCCTCTCTGTACTTGTCTTCCAAGTTGTTTGAATCGGGTAGTACAGAAAGGCCGGACACTTAAATTGGAGATTTTCCGAACAGATAACCGTGGTTTTGGTAAGTGAACCTTTTATTTACTCCAATGTTTTGCTTTTGAAATACCGACAAATATTTATATCTCCACGTGACAGGTCTACGTTCCCCAGAAAACATCCAAGCTGGACAGTACATTGATAGGTATCTGGGCGAAGTGATAACAAGGAAAGAAGCTGATGCCCGAGAAGCTGCAACTCCCAAAAATTCTGCCAGCTACCTATTTCAACTAGACTTCTTCATTTCAGCAGAGGAAAATTGCTACATAGTTGATGGAAGAAAATATGGCTCCATCACGCGCTTCATGAACCATTCCTGCCGCCCTAATTGCAGGATGTTCCCTGTCTCCCAGTATGAAGCTGAACGGAATATCTTTGACATGGCCTTCTTTGCTATCAAGAATATTCCAGCAGGGACTGAGCTGACTTTTGACTACTGCCCTTATTCCGATAAGGAGGGTTCCAAGGCAGTCGATCCTGATGCGGTTAAGTGTTTGTGTGGGGAACGGACATGCCGTGGTCAGTTGTGGCCGAACCAACGGAAAACAATGTAGTTGGAAATTGGACGATGTTTTCTTCGCATGTTGTGGTTCTGAAGGTCGGAGTCTATCTGGCATCTAATTTCCCCCTTGGTCTCAGATTTCGTCTGTTTGCTTTTCTCAAATGGTATCATTTGCCTACTGAAATGTTTTCATTAGCTAAGCCGCTGGATTCGGAATATCTCTCTTTTTTTTGTGTGTGTGTGTGTGTGTGTGTGTGTGTTGACAATTCTAGCGCCACCCCCCCGGATGTCTTCTGATTGACTTCATTTTTGGAATCTTTAAGTTGTGGTTTGCTGCTAGCATCTGCGCCCTTAGCCCCTGCTTTGTCCCCTATGGCAGACATAGCCTCCACAGGAGAGCGCTGGAGATGGACACTAGCTCAGTGCTCCATGCCCATCCTCCATCCCCTTCCAGCTTGTTCAACAAAAATCCCCAAGTTCCACACAAACTTACAGCCTTGTTTGTCTTCTGCAATTTTCTATGTCCTATTCGGATGGTTCTCTATTTCCCAGCTATCTTCAGTTCGTGATACCCCAGTTTCTTGGACCGTTTTAACTGATATTCCTCTTCTTTTTCTCAACCTTTATGTTATGCTACACTAGCTTGTCTCTTCAAGAGTTCAAACTACAAATGATGCATGTATGTACCTCCCTCTGCTTGATGTTTATAGAAGCCTAGTTTCTGTCTGGTGTTTCAGATAACACTTTTCTTTCCTTTTTTGTGCTAGGACTTTCCATGCGAAAGGGTGTTGCACACAGACACATATAAGCAAGTTGATTTAGTTGACTATTGTGATCCCCTTTTTCTGTTCCTTCTTTAACCGTTTCATTCATCACTGAAAATGGAAACTCATGAAATTTCAACATTTGGCATTTCTTCCTTACTTCATTTTCATTATTCCTGCCAATTTTTGTCAAGATTTTAGGATAGTATGTGGTTCTCAATTCATGCAGCAGATTCAAATGAAGTTAGCCAGCATAGAGAAAAGAATCTCTTCTTTCTTCCACTCCTGATAAGAGACAGATTATAATACACATGCCAGAATTCCCCGAAATTCTTCTTTCAACCACTACATTCCCTTAAATATAATGAGACTTTTAGGCATATGAAGCTGAAAATGTTAAATTTCGAGGAGCCATGACACATGAACAGAGAGTAAGAACGCAAGTATAAAGCCAGGGAAGTAATGGTGAAGGTGGGAAGAAACAAGAGATATAAGAAATACCATTTGACATTCCAACTCTCCATCCAAGATAACAAGAATTCAGAAGGAGAAAAGAAATCTGGGGCTCATATATAGCTGGACTTCTGACCTCCCCTGTTAAGCATAGAGGATACAAAAATTTTTCACGATTGTTATCACCCAGGCAATTTGGTTGATTACTAAGGGTGTTGGAGGGGAGGCCAACGAGAAACGAAGTAGATTATTCAAAAGGTAAGAAGAGAAGGGAAATCTCCCAGACATAAATAAGGTTCTGTGTTTGAAAAAAGGAGACTAACATTGCAAACAAACTTGCTTTCAAAGAGGCTCCCAAACTTTTCGAATGGATGGTTGACCGGGGAAATGTAGAATGCGTAGTGTGTTGCTGGACAGGGGTGGTGGTGGGAGGAGATCACACAGATGTACACTAGAACAAAATAGCTCCTATTCTAGGATACAAGAGGTAATAAGTTCGAGTTAAAAGTGGGTTTCATCCTCATATCCAGGCGTCTGTAGTTCGTCTCACTTTGGGTCGTGCAAAAATCATCGTCCTCCCTAGGTCGACCCCTCCATAACCTCAAAAATCCCCCCCATAACAAATCTCGGCTGACGCCCTATCCGCAACGAATTAATGTAACTACTGTCCCCTTCCGGCTCAAAGTCAAACACCTGCCCCACACTCATATTCATATTCAAGCTCGCATCCGTATCTCCCACCATCATTGGCATTGGCATGGCCGTAGGGATTGGCATCGGATCCACAGGACGCGGCTCCATAAGCCCCAGCCCAATCTTCTCAATCGAGTCCTCACTGCAGCGGCAACGTTCCTCGCAGAGTGCTAGATCTACTGCAGATGGACGACGGCGGTGTAGAAATGAGGAGAGGCGTATTGATGAAGTGGCGGAGTGCATTGTGAACGGGCTGCCGCTAAGACCGCGGTTGTACATGCGGTTGAGGGATGCAGACAAATGGTGCCGGTGACCTGTTCCTGTCGGGCTGGAGTCTGCGGAGGATAGGGGGATACTTATCATCAATCTACTGCTAGTGCTGTAAAATGGGTTGCGCAAGTCGGCTGTGTAGCTGGTCCATGATGAGGTGAGCAACTCCTTATTATTTGAGGTTTCTGTGGTGCTGCCCATTGTGGCAGAAGCGGGGAAGCTGTCAAAAAGGCCTCGAAGAGGCCAAATGAATGCCTGACTGCTGTTGTATCGAGTGGGATTGAGCGAGCGACTTGGGTGCTGTTTTCGAGCTCAGGGTTGTGAGCTCACGATCACCAAAGAAATATAACTGTGTACTATTCAACTATTAAATGAAGAGTCCCATTCAATTGAATTGGATGAACCCCAAATTCCAGCAGATCACAGGCCAGCGGTATATGGGATTAAATGAGGGAGCAAAGCTGGGCAGCCAGCAATGGTGGAGGACTGGGGAGCTAGAGGTTTTGAAGTGTCAAGAAGAGTGAGATCAACGGATTTAGTTACCGGATAGATAGAAGAGCGAGGACCAGAAGAACAGAAAGAAAATGGAATTAACAAGGGCAAAAAGTTCCAGGCCAGGGACTTAATTGACTCTCTGGAAGCGAGTGACGAGAGACAATTGGACAGCAACGGAAAAGAGACGAAGTATATAGCTATTTTCTGTTCCACATCAAGAAGGGGGTTAAATATTTATTTCAAAGTATGGATCTGAAGCGCCTGCATAAATACAACCACGGAGACAGCGACGACGAACAACAACCACCCGAAGAGGGAGAAGGAAGAGAGGGAGAAAGTAGGGAGTAGCAGGTTTAAGTCCTGGAGAGGGTTGGGAAAAGCCAAAGCAAAAAGGAGCAGAAGGGGAGCAATTGGAAGGAGAGAATTATTTGGTTATCTACGAAGAACAAAAACAAGGAATCCGAATTATTTATTTATGAGACACCCGAAACCGCAGAAACCCTCGGCGTGGCAAGCAAAAACAGGAGAGAGAGAGAGACAGATCTTATAGCTAGGAACTACACAAACAGGGCCGATCGAGCTCACGTTGGGAATCCACCTTGCGGCGGTTTTGCAGAGAGAGATTATTATATGATATGATATTTACGATTATTGATCTCAATGTTGACAGCATTTTTTTTATTTCACCGGCGAGTGAGTACATGAGAAATAAATATACAACACTAAATTAATGAAGGCATATTGCTGTTATTCTCCCCAGCATAATTAACATGACTGCCTCAGCTTGATATACCTATTATCTACGGGCAGCTGGAGGAATCTTCCCAATCCCTGACCATCGCCTCCAGTTTCTCATCTTTGCCACTATCGTAGCATCTGATGCAGCAACCTTGTTTGAGATATTTGACCGAACCAAGCCCTTGAGTCTCTCCCGGGCTTGGCTGCCTCGTCCAGAAGACCTGAGCATCGAAATTGTTGGATGGCAGACGACGAGGGAAGTAATGAGAGGTAAATAATTAGAAGAAGAAATGAACATGTCAATACTTTGTCAGGCCATGATAGCGGCGCACTGCCCTCTGATTACATGCAACCTCCCACAGCTTCACATATGTCATTTATCTGGTTGAATCTGCCATGTCTCAAAAGACAGCCTTTCTTATTATCTCCTGAGGTCATCCCTCCTGCGTCCAAAAATTACATTGGAACCAACATTAATCACCTTCCGCTTCATACTTAGCTTCAGGGTCAGGAGGTGTTTCTGAGACGGCGTTGATGCAAAACGCTGGTCCCTCACTTCTCCAGGAAGGTTAATCGGCATTTTAAGCATTTATTTTCATGTTCCTATCTCCCTGGACAAAGGGGTTCTCAGACGCGAACTGTGCCGAACTTAGTGAGTGTTAGCATAAATAACCAATCTGCTAGTGAAAAAAAAAAAAGAAAAGAAAAAAAAAAGAAAAAAAAAAGAAATACGAGGCATGGGATCCTTTCGGATGCGAAGCCGGAGGACCTGAAGAGGGGGAAGGGATAAACCTGATACACGCTGAACCAACAACAACAAAAACCATCGTCACAGATTATTGGTAACCTTCTCTGGGACATGGTTTTGATGACGAGTTTTTGGTACAATATGTCCATGGATGGGATGCGCTTCTCGATAATAGCCACGGCGGAACAGCTCGGTCATGGAAACAGTGTCATCCACAATTAATCATAATGACTCTGTAATTTCAGGTGTATGTCTCTTCAGGTGTATGTCTAATTTAATTCTCTTCAAGAGCTTCCTAAGTAGTTACAACATGGATTAAACCAAAACTATAACTGAACCAACCTTCTCACATCATAAGCGCATAAGCATTATGAAAGTACAACGAATTAAAAATTAGACGCTGTCGGCTCAAGCGTGTGTCCGAGAATCTAAAAAAAAAAAAAAAAGAAAAAAGAAAAGAAAAAGAAAACAAAGAAAAAAAAGAAAAGAAAAGAAAAGAAAGAAAAGAAAAAAAAAAAGAAAACCGCCACTCCCCTCCGGTCTTTATGGATCGAAATGAAATGCGAAGAATGGGAAACTAAAGGAGTTGAAATCGAAATATGCAGGAAGCAAGAAAGGTCTCAAGACAATAAGAAACAAAGAAAGGGAAACAAAAGTGGGGAAATAATAAAAATATACAGGCATGAAAATGTTGTTTTACACCCAAAAGTCAAAACCAAAAATAAATGAAAAAAGGGTAATACCAAAGTGAAAAATCAACAAAAACATCAAAAAAGGCCCAAAGAAAAATGACAACCTTCCTCATAACAGGCAAAGTATTGATGTTTTTGTTCAAGACATGTCCGCCCACCCTTTTTGGTTTTCAAACTCTAGAAAAACGTAACGAGAAACATAAAGGGGGAATAAAGAGGGAAATAAGAAAAGGCCAGCCTGACTGATATGCGCTCATATTCAATACATTGACGACTGCCACCGGTCCACCACCTCTCAACCTGTCATGTATATCGTGATCTGCATATGTTTTTTAGTAAAGCCCTGCTGCATTCGTGTATATGGTATCTTTTTACGTCTGCTATTTATAAGCTCCAAAAAAATGAGAAAAAGGGAAAATGCATGGAGATGGGAAAGGGTATATAAAGCATATACCCAGTATATGCGTGACAAAAATGAGGAAGAGGGAGAAGAGGGTAGTGAAGTACAGGGAAAGGAAAAAGTTGACGTCCATCGGAAGAATGATTGATAGACTATGATATATGGAAGGTATCATTTCCAGTATGATTATTCTCTCCCTTGCGGTCAACGCAGCGTGAAGCTTCGTCGGATACTTTCGCCCCAGGCAGAATTGTCCAGTGACTCCACCACCTCCTGCAAACTGACGGAGCTATCATGCCGTCGATGGTTCGCTATATCGTCCGGACTAGGCGGGTCGGAACTATAGAACCCTCTAACGATACGGCTTTGACGCGGAGACAGTGACGGGCTTCTATTTCCCCACTCGCTAGCACGTGTTGGCGAGCTGGAGTTTCTTGACCCTTGCGATATGTTTGTGTCAAGGGATGGGAGGTTTCGTAGATGTCCGCTGCCGGGTGGGGTGCCGGGTGGACGACTCAGGGCATCGGGTGATAACATGGGAGACGGGAAAGAAGAATCTGAGTGCTGGGAGGGGCTATGTTGTCGTTGCTGTAGTTGCTGTTGTGATTGCTGTTGCTGCTGGCACGGGTGCTGTTCTTCATGCTCTGCATCGTCAACGTAGATTTCTGGAACAGCGAATTGTGGCACAGAAACTAGGCGGGAAGCATCATGAGGTTCAAATCGGCGGCGGAACTTTCGAGACCAGTATAGTGTGTCGAAAAAGCCAATGACAACGCTTCGCCGGACAGCCTCCTCGACTCGCTGCAGACGAGCTCGACGACGAAGGAATTCTTCGAGTCTGAAAGGAAATAATATATTAGAACAATCCAAAAAAAAAAAAATTACTAAGAGTAGTGATTAGATGTCTTGGCTTACCTTAAACTCTTGCTATCAGTGATCACATTGTAATGAGCAAGAATCATGAGACAAGAAGTGAAGGATATGCCTCTCTCCGGGTCTGCTGAGACAAGCACTTCTTCATAGAAGGTATTCATTCGAGCCCGTTTTCTGCGGATTTGCTGCACAGGGATGCGACTAATCCTCCTTTGCAGCTTGTCCAAATCGATTCCATCCACAGCTCGGACATATGGTGCCGGGTTTGATTCTCTGCGATGAACTTTGCAGTCTTCCAAGATACGACCAACCGTAAAGTCACCGTCGTAGATACGCATTTCAAATATTCCAGACAGTTCCTGATGTCATATTAGAATATCATTCATAAAATATAGTGAAATTGATGCTGTATGTGTTGACTTACCCCTAATAGCCTGGGAAACACCTCTTTGGAAATGTATCCAGTTCCATCAGGGTCATAAGTAGCCCAGGCTTGCTTGAAGCGACGGATCTCTTCTCTACTGATGGCATACAACCCACTGCTTCGTTGATATACATACGAAAAACTTTCGAAAATGAGTGAAACGAAAAGAGACACGAAGATGTACATGCTGACAATGTTCCAGGAGATAAAGAGTGTGCGGGCCCAGCCAGCACTGCCGCAGTCACTCTGAAAGATGTGGTTCTCAGCTGTGCAGTAAGGTGGCACCATCGTGGCGAAATCTTCCATGATCTCATTCCAGCCCTCTCCGCAACTGGTGCGGAAAAGAAGAATGAGGGCCCTTGGGACGTCTCTGAAATTAATATTGCCGGTTTCCCCGCCCCCAAACTTTGTAAGGCCGAATATCTGCGTGAGAGCAATAGCGTAAACCAGGAAGAGGACAAACCAAGTAGCCAGAAGATTACCGATGGCTGGCAGGCTAGCAGCTGCGGTTTTGAATAGTTGATCAAGTTGATTATTCCGAGGGATTAGTAGAAGCACGATAGAGACAAGAAAAAGTTTATGGAGTCGGGCAAAGACGATATTGTTATATCGGATAACCGAAAGCACTGTGGTGAAAAATGTTCCGGATACTGAAATGATCGAGTACAAGTCCCATGAACTTCTACGGAATCGTTGCCATGTCAAGCCGATAACACGAATGAGGATGTTGGCGATATAGAATAACGTCAAAATCAAGAAAAGAACATCTAGGTTGGATATGAGCTGGCGCATTCTGCATAGTGTTGGAGTTAGAAAGAATTCTTACCTCGA